CCATGGAGCAAAGGGAACCAACCAGGGACAGGAAGAGAAACTGAGTGTCTAGTTGTTTCAAGGGAATGGATGATGAACTGCAGATGAGTAACTCATTCTTCTTATTTTGCATTCCTATGATTGAGTGTTCACGGCCGGAACAGGAGGCAAACTGGCAAGGCAGGCAGAACATTCTCAATATGTTGGCTTTTATTGTAAGGCTTTACAGAAGTAAAGATGCCTTACTGCTATTATATAGACTCTTGGCGAGACTGCACCTCAAGTATTGTGCACAGTTTTGGTTTCCTTCCACAAGGAAGGATTCAGTTCCATAGAGGAAGTGAAACAAAGGTGAAGCAGATTGATTTCTGGGATGTGGATTATCAGGCCCTGGTAATTTGTCAGCCTTTGACTCTGTTGATTTTCCCAGCATCATTTCCTTCAACTCCACCCCTCCCATTAGACCCTTGGTTCCCTGACATTTCTGGAAGGTATTTTCCCGCTTCTTTTGTGAATATGGAATCAAACTATGTATTCATTTCTTTGTTCCAATTATAATTTCCCTGGCTTTTGATTTATTTGACTTTACTAAGCATCAGGTCTTCACATTTTCATAGAAACGGACTGGAAACACTCATGTTCCTTGCAATTTTACACTCGTCCTTGTATTTTCTCCTGTTGATTAAACATTTTGTCCTCTTTTGCTGAATTCTAGGCTTCCTCAGACTTCCTGATTTTTCTGGCAATTTTGTTTGTCTTCACTTTGGATTTAATACTATCCGTAATTTCTTTTGCAAGTATAGTTGAGCCAACTTCCCTTTTTTGTGCCAGACAGGAATGAATGGTTTAATTCTTGCACACACGCTTTAAATATAAATCACTGCCTGTTCAATGCTACCTCTTTAGTAATCTATCGATGCCAATTCACACCTCATACCCTCATAGTTCCCTTCATTTAGATTCAGAAACCTAGTTACAGATTCGACAATTTCACTTTCCATCTCAATGAAAAATTCTACCATATTAAGGTCGTTCTTCCCCAATTGACCTTGCACAAGATTGTTAACAAATCCTTTCTCCTTGGAATGTAGGGTAAACTAAAGTCACTACAGCCTTACCAGGCCATAGGGGTACTCAGTTGTTGGTTTAACCTAAGGGACACCATGCCTGAGGTAAGGGGAGAGATTGAAAATCAGAACCACTAACTTCAGCTGTTCCGGGAATTGAACCCATGCTGTTACCATCAGTTTGCATTGCAAATCAGCTGTCCAGCCAATGAATAGTCTGTTCTTTCTAGAGCAACATCCCAAAAAAGAAATTGATGCATTGGTGGTTATCTTCCAAAATTCCATAGACTTTACAGCAATTCCTAAGTTGGAGAATGGAAAATGTAACCTACTTTTTCAGGAGGAAGTGATAGGGAAAAAAAATTACAGACCAGTCAGCCTAATATCAGTAGTGGGGAAAATGCTACAGTCAGGAATAAAACATTAACGGAACATTTAGAAAGCATTAACAGAATTGGACAAAGCCAGTATGGGTTTTTGAAAAGCAGATCATACTTAACAAATCTACTGGAGTTTTATAATGAGGTAGCCAGTAGAATAGATAAGCAAGAATCAGTTTCAGAAGGTTTGATAAGGTTCCTCATAAGAGGCTAGTGAGCAAAGTTAATGCACATGGAATGGGGGCAATATATTGGCACAGATTGAGAACTTGTAACAGACAGGAAACAGTGCGAAGAAATGGGTCTTGAGTAGAAGGCAATGACTAGTGGGGTACCGCAGGCATCAGTGCTTGGGCCCCAGCTATTCATGATTCGTATAGATGACCTGGATGACGGAATCAAATGCAACATTTGCAAGTTTACTGACAGCACAAAACTGGGTGAGACTGAATGTTGCAAGGAAGGTGTAAAGAGACTTCAAGGTGATTTAGCCAAGTTGAGTAAGCAAACACATGGCATATGCAGTACAACAATGCGAAGTTATACACTTATGTAAAACAGAATGGAACAGTACAATTTAAATTGTGATACATTGGGAAATGTGATGTACAAAGCGATCAAGATAACCTTGTACAATAGTCATGAATGTAGTCTGCAGGTGCAGCAAGTAATAAGGAACACAAATGGTATACTGGCCCTTATTTAATGATGATTTGAGTTCAGAAGTAGAGTTGCAGTTATTCAGTGCCTTGGTGAGACCACACCTGGGGTGCTGCATGCAGTTTTGGTCTCCCTAGCTAAAAAAGTTATACATCCTCAAAGGGAGTGCAGCAGAGCTTCACTAGGCTGACACGAAAATTGGTGGCGTTGTGGATAATAAGGAAGGTTGTCAAAGAAGACAGCAGGATATAGATCAGTTGGAAAGCTGGGCACAGAAATGGCAGATGGAACTTAATTCAGACAAGTGTGAGGTGATGCATTTTTGGGAGGTTAAATGCAAGAGGGAAATATACATTAAATGGTAAACCGTTTGGAGCACAGATATACAGCAGAATTTTGGAGTGCAAGTTTATAGCTCCCTCAAAGTGGCAACACAAGTGGATAAGGTGGTAAAGGCAGCTTACAGCATACTTGCCTTCATCAGTCAGGACATTAAGTATAAAGGTTGCATTAAGTCTACAAATTGGCAAGTCACTTAGCAGCTGTACAAAACTTTGAGGCCACATTTGAAGTAGTGTGTGTAGTTCTGGTGGCACATTAGAGTAAGGATGTGAAGGCTACAGACAGGGTGCAAAAATGGTCTACCAGGATATTGCCTGGGTTGGAGAGTATTAGTTTTAAGGAGAGAGAATGGACAAACTTGGATTGGTTTTGCCAGAACATATGAGGCAGAGGGTACAACCTGGTAGAAGTGTATGAATTTATGAGAGGCCTAAATAGGGTGGATAGTTGGAGACTTTCCAAAGACGGAAATGTCAAATACTTGGGGGCATAGGTCTAAACCAAGAGGGGAATAGTTTAAAGTTGATGTGCAAATAGGATAGAAGGTGGTGACTGGAACACACTGTGGGGAGCCGGGGGGGGGGGCGGGGGGGGGGCGGATGTTGTTGTTGGTAGGAGTAGATACAACAGCAACATTTAAGAGGCATTTAGACAGAGACATGAACAGGCAGGAAATACAGGGATACAGACCACGTTCAGGCAGATGGGATTAGTTTAGAATAGCATCATGGTCAGCACAGACATGGTGGGCTGAAAGACTGTACTGTTCTATAAACTGATACCAGGGATGGCAGGACTGTTCTATAAAATGAGATTAGAGAATAAAAGTCCAATTGAACCAGAGTTAAGGAGTAAGGATTGAAATGGCATTGATGAAATGCATAACATTCCAAAAGGAGCTGGACAGATTAGATGGAGGGAGAATGCTTTCCCAGGTTGGAGTGTTTAGAACCAGGGGTCAGAGTTTCAGGATATAGGGTTTTAGGACTGAGATAAGGGCTGAGAGGGTAGTGAATCTGGAAATTTCCACATAAGATTATGGAGGTCAAGTCACTGAATATATTCAAGAAAGAGACAGATATATTTTTAGATTGAAGGCATCAAGGTGTATAGGGAGAAAGAAGGAATATGGCATTGATATAGAGGATCAGATATGATCACATCGAATGGCAAAGCAGATTCAAAGGGCTGAATGTTTCTACCACCAATTTCTCTTGGATAATTGTTTTAACACAAGAAAAAATTACAAGAGCAAGCAAAAATTCATATAGCATATGACAAGGATCCTGATTAGACAGACAATGGTTGGCATGGAAATGCAGCTGGAATTGTTTTTGTTCCTTTGTGGGTATCATTGGCTGGGTCAACATTTGATCCCAGCTGCTGCAGTCCTCGGGGTGTAGGGACAAACAAAGAGCTGTTAGGAAGGAGGTTCCAGGGTTTTGACACAACGATAATAAAGGAACGATGATACAGCGCATAGTTAACAGATTAAATTCAAACCAGATAAGTCAATCGAGTGAACACAGAAAATGCAGGAGA